TTTTTTTTTTTCTCGATCGTTCGACATTCAATCGCGATCAATGCTTGATCGGTTTCGGTGGAGAACTATAATCGACATCAGTTAGCGAGAAAGTAGAAAAAAAAAAGGAAAGAAAATACTGGTAAAAAAAAAAAAAAAATAGATTGAAAAATAGAAAAAAGAAGAGAAAGAGAATTGCACGGTACAAGTGTTCCGAATTATCGGCCTCGAACTTTCGTTCGAGTGACCGATACTAAAGCCCGTAGGATTATCAAAGAGGAATCTTTTTTTCTCCCTCGTTTCCCTTTCGCTAGAATTTCTACGTCGAAACGAAGAGACGATCAAGCACCTTGATCCTCGAAAAAATTTTCGTCTTCTCAATTTTTTCCTTTTTTGCCCTTCCTGGAGGCTATATCTGATCAAACGAGCCACAATACTGACAAATCAAGCGCAGATCGTCTGCGTCGCCCGACGAAAACTCTCGTAAATATTCTCGCTCGCCCGTTCCACTACTTCTATCGTGCTTCTCGTAGAAAAATAACTCTGTCTCTGACGAGGAGGCGGAAAGAACGTCGCTCGCTTCGTTCAATGCCCAAACTCGATTTGACCCTTTCAGCCTCGGGTAACGCCATTTTCTACCGAATCCGGCGAGGAACCTATTTATCTGTGCGTTCGAGGTATTTTTCATCTCTCGCGAGTTTCGCTTCTTGACAATCGATAACGTTGTCGAGGAGAAGAAGAAGAAGAAGAAAAAGAAAAAGAAGAAAGAAAAGGGAATGAAATTAACATATTACGGTCGAACTCTGAGCTGAAAGGGATCATAAGTGGCTATCAACCATCGACGCGAATTATCTACATAGTAGCTAATAACAATCTACGACCAGGTACAAGTTCTTCTTAGTTCACAGCTCGAGAATCTCGAGTGTAACTCGCCGATGTATGTTAGGGTAAGGCTACGAAGAGAGGTCGTATATCACGACGACGACGATTTATACGCGAAAGAAGCCAAGTAAATAGAACTTTCCTACGGCAGCCTTTCAATTCGCGACGCGGAATACTCTCAACGCGTGACGTGATCACGACAAAACTTCGAATACGTGGATATATTTACTTGGAAACTGAAAGCTTATTCGACGAAACAAACTGACAATTGTTTACTTTCGTGTAATTTGTATAATGACGATCCTCGTTGCATAAGGATACTTCTCAGTTATCGCGTTGACACCTTTCGATGATTTTCTCGTTCAAAGGAGAAATGTTCAGAGTCGTTCTCGCTGGTAACCTTACCCTAATGCCCCTGTGTCTGGCACACACGCGATCGTCGAGGCTAAATGGTCGGTCTGAAAATATTTTCCTTTTCAACGCACGCTAAACACAACCGTCTTCCGGCCTCTGTTCCCTTTTAACACGTCGCTCAGGATGCTCGTGTAAACTGTGAGATGCTCGTTTTCGCTGAACCGTGACCCTACAACACACCACGCGCAACAAACGAGTCGAGTCCGTTCGATCGATATATCGGGAAATATTGGCCGTACGATCGAACAAGATCCTTCGCGGTGTATATTCTCTGCTATATTCTCGGACCACGTTGACGGAATTCGACAATTGAACGCGGAACACGCGTCATGGAACGATAATAACACTTTGGTACAATATTTTGGAACGAATTTAGGTGTGTATATAATTGTTGGTCGATGGCGATGGAGGATGCGTTTAAGTATTGAAGCTCGAGAGATTCTCAGGTAACGCGCGACACTGGCCGTGAGTAGACCCTAGATTCTTAAGCAATTGGACTATATTCCTTTACAAATCTTTAGAGATTTAGTGTCTTCTAGTGAAGAAGCATGCAAGTGGCGGCATACTATTGTCGTGTAACCGTAAGTTAGAACACAATGCGTTTTTATATATCCTGCGGATAACATTGAACTTCTCTAAGGAACACTAAAACACATCATCACACCGAACAACATACAGGCTACGAGTTACTCAGTGTCTCAGTCCGAAGACCGCGTTTT